AGGTGGGCCGCGAGAAGTACAGCACCTCGGTGGTGGAGAAGACGCAAGGCTGCCCGGAATGGTGCGAGGAGTGCTCTTTCGAGCTGCCGCCTGGAGCCCTGGATGGCCTGCTGCGGGCACAGGAGGCAGATGGAGCTCCTGCGCCCTGGGCCTCGGGCCCCAATGCCTCCTGCGAGCTGGTGCTCACCACCATGCACCGCTCGCTCATCGGTGTGGACAAGTTTCTGGGCCGGGCCACCGTGGCTCTAGACGAGGTCTTCCGCGCAGGCCGCGCCCAGCACACGCAGTGAGTCTGGGCTCTGGGAGGGGGTGTAGAACGGTTAAAGGCCTAACCGGGCGGGGCTGGTGGGACATCGGGACCCCGACCTCGCGCTCAAGGACACAAACCGACACAGTAGTTGTTACTTCTCATTTTGGGGGGCCCTGGCTGTCTCCCAAACAGCCTTGGGGGCCTGGAAGGCCTGATGGAGTTGGCATAGTGACCAAGGGTTAGGAGTACATGGCCAAGGAAAGTTCGGAATGGGATTCTGAGGCTGTGAAGAATTCAAGAAGGGAAATTTTAGGGCTTCGGTTCCTGCCTTCCTATCCTCAAAGAGGTGCTCAGTTTGGAGTGGAGTGGAGAGACGACTGTCTCACCTTGTAGATTCAGCAAGGTGAGGTTGTTATCTTCTAGGGCAAGATTGAAGGGCAATGCCCCAGCAAAACCTAGGAGTTACATAAAACATTTGCTTTTTGAATGTATAGGGATGCCCTTCACCATCTAGACATGCTCCCTGACTCTGTGTCCAGGGTACGAGAACAGAGAGAATTGGGCGACTTCCTAAGAGTGGAAGAAAACACTTGGGTCAGCTTGCCCCCAGTGAGGCAGTGATTATAATGCCCAGCTGTTCTCCAGGATATTTTCCCTAGAAAGGATAGGAGGGGTTTTTGTTGTTTTTATTTTGTTTTGAGACAGGGTCTCTATGTAGCCCTGGCTGTCCTGGAATTTGCTATGTAGACCGGGCTGTCTGCCCTTGAACTCAAAGAGATCCTCCTGCCTCTGCCTCCTCAATGCTGGGCTCAAAGGTGTGTGCCACCAAAATCTGGCTGTAAGGACAGGATGTTTTAATCATTTATTTTGGCAGGTTTTGGTTCCCATGGGTAAGATAAAGACCTACAATTCGGCCGGGCAGTGGTGGTACATGTTTTTTAATCTTAGCAGTTGGGAGGCACTCATGATCTCTTTGAGTTTGAGGCCAGCCTTGTCTACAAGTTAGTTCCAGGCCAGCCTGGGCTACACAGAGAAACCCTGTCTTGAAAAACAAAATAACAAACAAAATGACCAAAGACTTGGAGCACCTTTTCTTGTTTGTGTCTGGTACCATCTGGAAGTCGGTCCTCAGGGATGACCACCTCTTGTGGCTTGCTGGAGCAGTTTTATTTCCAAGCCTCCTGGGTGGGGTCTATAAGGAGATGGGTGCAGCGTGGTAGCCTATATAGGAGAGCTGCTGGGAAGGTTTGCTGGTTTTAAGTAGATCAAGGAAGGCTTGTTTGAGAGGGATGAGCCAGGTACAGATGAAGAAGGAAGCAGGGTTTGCATAGAAAAAGGTCCAACTTTGAATGATTTTTTTTTTCAAAACATGACTAGGGAAGGTCTTTCCTGGCTAGCCTGCTGTGACTGGCATGGAATAGAACTGGGCACATTCCAGGCAGAGCTCTGGCCTGACTTCATCCCCCTCCCCTGGCTTCTCTCCTCCTTCACTCATGACTTGCTGTTTGGTTGCTGGGTGTGGAGTCATGTGGCACAACTTGGTCCTTGTTTTGATCTTTTCCTTCTCTCTTTTGTGTCCTCCTCCTTCCTGGTCCAGGCAGACCAGGGAACTGGGTGTGGGATGGAATGGTCTCCCCTGACCTCTTAGCTCCATCCTTTTCCCATTCCCAACACCCTTTTGCCATTTGGCTATTCCAGCCAGGAATAGATACATGTGGGATTTGTTTTAGAGGGAAGGTGGACTAAGGGGGGCAGATTAAACCAAACCAAAACAAACCAAACCAAACCAAACCAAACCAACAACACCACCAACAAAACCAGCAACAAAACAAGCTTGCTGGGAGAAGCTTCTTTGATTTTTTTTTTTTTTTCATTTCTTTCCAGTTCATGCCCTTGCTTCCTTCTTGGCCTTGAATCTTGCTTAGTGGAGCTGGCCCAGCCTGCAAGTCCAGGTGGGCCTGTTTTCAGCCAAGAACAGTGCTCCCAGGAGACTTGGATGTGCTATCCCTTGATCTGAATGGGAGCCTTAAGAATCGGTTCACACCCACCTGGCTGCCTTTCTTCTGATGCACTGACTTGGATTATTTATAGACTTGGAGGGGGCAGGAAGGGGGGGCACTTAGGATGGGCAAAGGAAAAGTCCACACAGTTGGCCCGCTCTGTCTTTCTAGTCCCTGGACCTCACAGCATGCTCACTGACAGAGAACCAGGGCAGCCACTCCTGCTCCATGTCCCAAAGGCTTTAATGGCCACTTCTGGAAACATTTCCTGGACCACCCTGGCCTGAGCCGATGAGGCAGTGAGTTTATGCAAAGCCCAGGTGTCCAGGCAGAGAAGATCAGGGGGTAACATCCTCGGTTTGGGATGCTGGTGGAAAAGTACTGTATTCACATTAGCTCTAGGAGACAGGGGGGGAGGGAGCAAGCGGTGGGCCCCCGTTACCTAGAGAATCTGACTTGGGAAGGGCAGGCTGACTTGAGAGGAGGAGGCTGAGAAGTTGCGTGGAGCAGATCCCTTTCTCAACTGTGCTAGGCAGGTAAACTCCTGAGTGTCTCACTTTACTAGTCTTTAAAATGGGAGTAACTTACACCTTCCCAGGGTTGATGGGGAGATGAAATGAGAATGCAGAGGAAGACCTAGTACAGTTTCTGGGCACTCTGTGTGTGTGTGTGTGTGTGTGTGTGTGTGTGTGTGTTTGTGTGTTTGTAGGTCAGTGAATAGATGTGATGGTGGAAGGACATGTTGGCAACACCATGGAAGAAGTCCTCTGCCTTAGAAGAACTGCTCAAGAACTTAGAACTTATAAGTGGGAAAACCTCATGACCATGGGTGGTGACAGGATGAGAATCAGAATTCTCAACTGTCCTTTGTAGCCCTCAGAGGCCTAAGAACTTGAGCAGTACCTGGGAAGCAACCATGGTCCTTAAGCCAGACTCAGGTCACCCAGTGGCTCTGCAGCTCTCCCTGTTAGCCTTGTTTGGCACTGCCCGTGCCCTGGAGAAAGGTACGCTGGCACAGTGTTGGTCCCTTAACCTTTTCACCACGTCTCTGCAAGGGTCATAATGACAGAGGTCAGCTATATAGATTGGTAAGATGCCATCCAGGAAGGCTTGGTGTAATTCTTGATGGCGGCTTTCATAAGGGTAGGGTCAGAGTTGCTGTGGGTCCTTGCTTCCTGTGCTGTGGCTCCAGCTACCCCAGGGACCCCTGAAAGTCACTTCTCTATGAGGCACTCTTTAACGTGAGAGGCTTTACTGGAGGCTTTCGAAACACCCAAAGAGGAAATATACCCCCACCCCTCCCACACCAGGGATGGAACTCGGTGGCTAGTGTGTGCTGGGCAAGCACATTACTGCTGAGCTGTATTTCCAGCCATCAGAGAGGAAGCTCTCAAAACAAAAAACATGGTGCATATGACACTTGATTAGAGCTATTTCCCATCTGGAGCACCATCTTCTTGCGTGACACCAGTGTTGGTGTTGTTGCTGGGACAGTTCCAAGGTGCTGCCCACTTCTCGTTTTTACCACTACTTCCTACCACCCTGGAATGCCCAGTGGGTTCCAGGTTTGCTATTCTGCCTCTTAGGACCTTGATGGGATAGTGGCAGTTAGTTCTCATTTTTACCTGTGGGGTCAGATGGGGACACTTGCATTCTTCTGGACTTCCTACTGTGGATGTGGCTTGTACCACAGGGGAATGATCCTGAATAACTTAGAAAGAGAAAGTGGCAAGAATTTTTGAATGAGGTTAGGGAGTCAGTCACAGAGTTTTTTTTTTTTTTTTTTTTCTTTTTTGGGTGGGGAGACCTGTTTTTGGCTCCCTGAGAGTGTTGGTTGGTCTGTACTGGGAAAGGAGAAGACATAGCACCATCTTGTGTGGATTTGCCTTCTCCCTGACCTGGTCCCAATCTGGAAGTGTATGGTACAGAAATAAATTGGGCTGGCCCTCTGGAAAAGCCACGGCTGTGGGTTTGTCATCTGGGACCAGTTGTCTCCTCTCATCATCGTCTAAAATTGTGACCATGACCAGGCTGCTAACTGCCCCTTGAGAGGCTTCGTCAGTTCCTACCCAGCCTGTGTTGTTCTTTTGTCTTTTCATTTTTGGAGAGGGCAGGCCCAGGGAAGCTCATGGGCGTGGAGGCCTGAGGGCAGAGGTTCTTCTTGGCTGCTCAAGGCCATTTAAACTCCTGATTCTTCTGCCTCTTCCTCCTGAGACCTGGGATGACTGACACAAGCCATTGTGCTTGACTATAGAGAGGGTCTAGGGCTTTTCATCCCATAGCCCTGCAGCCTTTTCTTTTCTGGCTTCTAGGTGTGACCTGGTTTTCAAGAAGCAACCGAGGCCCACTCAGGCCCCTGGTTTAGGCCCCTGAATGAACCCCAGGTCTGGAGTGGAGCCTGGGACTGATGGGGAGGGGTCATACTCAGAATGTGTCTTTAGGATGACCAGGCTTCATTTCTTAATTGTGGTCCAGTAGCCTACCCTTATTTGGGGCTGTTTGAGCAGCATCGTGGAGGAGAGGGGCAGAGGAGGTGTGACTCCTTCTCCCCAGCACAGTGACTCCCCCTTTCCTTTGAATCTGACCCTGAGTCCTGGGCCAGACCCAGGCAGTCACCAGGGGTCTGCCCTTCCCCACTCCACTAGGCAGATGGGGACAAGGTACAAGCCAGTAGAACCACCATCCTGGTTGACCTTGAGGCCTGGCTTTGCTTTAATTTTTTTTCTTTGTGGTAGGGTTTCACTGCATATTTGAGGCTGACCTGGAGCTTGCTATGTAGTCCAGACTGCAGCTGGCCGCTCCTTGTTATTGCAGTCGCCCTGGCGCAGTGACGCTTTCCTTGCTGCTAAACTGCTGGTCTGGCCTTCTCCAGATGTTTCCCTTGCCCTTTCCACCCTGTTCGGGCAGATGACTAACACAATGACAGGAGTGGCTGTTGCTCTGTGGAAATCAGCCCCCACATTTTATTTCCCTGTATAGAGAGAGTGTGCCCTCAGGTTGGATCCTGGAAGCTCAGTACTGAAAAACTGGTCACTTCATT